AGTTATAATGGAAATTGAGACACTATTAAAATTGTTTGTAATACAAATTTAACATTAACAGTCCTCTGATATAATTAAGATTATTAAGTATTTATTATTATGACGTCCTATTGAAGCATCATATATTTCGAGGGAGGGAGTGCCTGATTTTTTCTTCAGGTGAAATCTTGGAGAATTAGAAGACCTCAAAGGAGACTGCTGCTTGGGTTTCTTTGCATCACCCTTATATGAACTGTGATGCCACGATACAAATCTGACCATGAATATTGAAATGTTTTGTGATCTGTTGTGTTCTTGTGATATGAAGAAAATGTATCCACTACTGGTCATGATACATAGCACAAGTGCGTCTTCATGACAGTGGAANTGGTCATGATACGTAGCACAAGTGCGTCTTCATAACAGTGGAAATTTCACCGCCACATCGTAACATCATTTTTGAGGTAAGTTGAAGAGCAGCAAATTATTTTGTAGGAGTTATATTAGTTGTTCTGTTGTTTCAGACTTATTTTTCATGCACTAAATTTTGGGTATAAGGTACCTGTGGTTGTTTTGCTGTAGGGTTTTTCCTCAAAGTGATACTTGCCAGTGTGCCACATCCTGCTTGTAGCTTCCTCTTTGAGCCTGCGTCATTGCCTTCCTACTGTGCCATCCATGCAGCCATCCTTATTCTTAATTAGTATGCATGTGGCTTCCATTGGACAAATGAAATAGAAATTTGCATGAAATTTTTCACTTAGTATCGTAAGATAAAAAATGTGATGTAGTTGATTTAAATTGTAATGGAACTTGATAACTGTTAAATAGTATGTGATGTACATATTTGATTTAGAGTGTTCTCTTTTATAGTTAATGTAATTAATATTTGTCATTCTTTTGTTTTAGCTGAGCGTCAATGTATATTTCTGTGAAGCTAGTGAATTTGTTGTCATTCAGGCCATATTCTGGGGAATAATATACCATGGGAAGTTGCTGGTTGTGGTAGGCCTGTGTCATCCTGAATAGAATTGAGCCGCAATGTGTCAATTCCGACTGAATGAGCAGGCAAATTTAGTGGAATCTGGTGAAGAATGTTGTTGAAAATTGAATACTCCTGGGTATGTAAGAGAGACATATGTGGTTGTATTGACCGTGGAAATGATAGCGCGACAACCTTCCATAAATTACGAGGTGAAGTATATCAGCATTCTTTTCTGCAGGAGTCATCTTAATTCTTCTCTTCACTTGGTCATGGTTTCCACGTGTTACATGTTGAATTTTTGTTAACATATTTCAGTTATGTCAGAGTTTTTTTTCCTTCAAGTGACAGTGGCCTGATGAATCTCGCTTATCTGCATCCGCTTGCCTTAGCCTCGATTCCTGTGTGGATGCCTATTCTTCAGCGTGAATAAACCTGCTTCAAAAGCTTCGGCGATTTACGGTTTACCCCAGACAGTAATGCAAG